GTCTCACGCTAGCCGAATTGCATTATTTCGTTGCCTAATCATATTTACTTTTCAGGTACTTGTCTCGGCTCATATTTACTCCTTTTTTAGAAAGAGAATCAAATTTCCTCTGGAATAGTGTTATGGTGGTCCTGAAGCTGAATTTTTTTTTGAGGAATCTGTTATATGGATAATTTTTTTATCTTATATTTTTATATAATTTTTAAATATTAAAAAATTTAATTAAATAATTAATAAATTTAAAATTAATTTTAATTTTTTATTAAAAATTTATAATAAAAATATATTTATTATATTTTTAACATGAATCTAAAGCTTAAATTTGACAAATCTATATAATAATAAATAATTTATTAATTCAAATAAAAAAACTTAATTTTTTTAAAGTAAAGTTTAAATTTAAATTTTATAAATAAAAAAATAAATACTAAAATAATTTCCTCACATGTTTATTAGCAAAATTAGTCAAAAAAAAAAAAACTTATACAATAAAATAACACGGGCAATTTCGTCATTTAAGCTAAATCTCAGGGTTTCTCAAGGAACCCTAATTTATTACCGTGGCACCGAGCACTAACGGGTTTCGTCATTTCACCTCCGCTCCGGCTGCTACGCTGAAATCCATTCAGGGATTCTCAGAGGCTTTTTTTTGCAGCCATGGCTACAACTACAACGGCGACGACAGCCGCCGTGACGCCGCTGACTCAGAAGGAAGCCGACATTCAGATGATGTTGGCGGCCGAGGTCCATCTCGGTACCAAGAACTGCGATTTCCAGATGGAACGATACGTCTTCAAGCGCCGCAATGACGGTAAGAGATCTTTATCTTCCTCTCCTCACTTGCATACGCTATTCGGTTTCAGTATCTGTTGCCTTGAATCCATGTTTTAATTAGCTAATTAATTAGTAGTTAAAACTCACACAGTGCCTGACTTTCACTTTCTTAGAGAATTACATGTTAGGAAACATATTAATACTTTTTTTTAGTTCCATGTTTTAGTATAATTCTAAGACAATTAGGAAGAAGAAGCAATGATGTTGCTATTTCAGATGTGAAACAGTTGTTTGAATTTTGCATATTTAGTTCGGTGCTGTCACCAGTGATTTTTGGTTACTGGCATGCTAATTGTAATTTTAGGAGGACTGTTTAACATGATTAATTGTTCAAATTTGTTGGTTGAATCTAGTATGAGATATGTACTGAATTCCTTTTAGCTGCGATCAAACATAGATTGAATTTTATCTCCTTAAATTAGTGAAAAGAATGGATAAGTTCTTCTGTCTGAGACATGTAACTTCTTAACTTCCTCTTTAGCTGACTATTGATTTATGTTGTTGGTATTCTAAGCAATTGAATGTATTTTGTGCATCTTATAGGTATTTACATCATCAACCTTGGCAAGACCTGGGAGAAGCTTCAGCTTGCAGCTCGGGTTATTGTTGCCATTGAAAATCCTCAGGACATCATTGTCCAATCTGCTAGGCCCTATGGTCAGAGGGCTGTTTTGAAGTTTGCTCAGTACACTGGTGCTCATGCAATTGCTGGAAGGCACACACCTGGTACATTCACCAACCAGCTCCAAACATCTTTCAGTGAGCCTCGTCTTCTCATCCTCACTGATCCTAGGACTGATCACCAGGTAATTCACTGCCTTGGCACCTAAGTTGGGTTTCAACCAGCTTTAAATGTGCTTGATTACTTCTTGCTGCTTAGCTGAGTCTTGACCTATATTCTTTTTCTTGAATTGCTGGCAGCCTATCAAGGAATCAGCTCTTGGAAATATCCCAACAATTGCTTTTTGTGATACCGATTCTCCAATGAGATACGTTGACATTGGTATTCCAGCAAATAACAAGGGAAAGCACAGCATTGGTTGTTTGTTTTGGCTGTTAGCCAGGATGGTTCTTCAAATGCGTGGTACCATTCAGCCTGGACTTAAATGGGATGTTATGGTAAGCAGCATCACCATCACACTTATCAGTGTTGTCTTTGTGCTTTAAAATGTTTCATTTTCTTTTGATTGTATTTGCAGGTGGATTTATTCTTCTACAGGGAACCTGAAGAAGCTAAACAACAGGAAGAGGAGGAGGCAGTTGCTGCCCTTGATTATGGACTTACAGTTCCTGATTATGGAATGGGAGCTATTGCCGGCGACCAATGGGCTGCACAAATACCTGATAGACAGTGGGCTGCTGATGCTGTTCCACCACCTATCCCTGCTGTTCCCACTGCACTCAACTGGGGTGACCAAGCAGGTGGGAGTCACTGCATTACTTTATAAATTGTGTTGTTTAGCCACCTATTATTATTCCTTTTCTGGAGACTGAACCATTCACCGTGATGCTGGTCTCTCTGGTTGCAATAATTTGTAGTGGTCAATTTGGTTAGGTTGTTGGACTTTTTATCTGTTCCATTCCACAAATTTAAGTTCACTCTGTTTGCCTCTTATCAAAAAGCCTTAGCTTTTGATTTTATGTCTTGTCATTTTTCTATCCTATATTATAATTGGTCTGTGCGTTTGTTAAAATTGCTTGCTTATTTGAATGCTTCTCTTCCGTCTTTGAAATGCAGCTCCATCAAGTGGAGATGGATGGGATGCTGCAATTGCTCCACCCCCACAGACAGCAGTTGCTGGAATCGACCCAACCACCCCTGCAGCCTCCGGCTGGGATTGAGGGACCCGGCAACAATATAAAAGTGACATGTTTTAATTTTATCAAGGACAATTCAAAGTTTTGTCCTTTCTTCAATGGATGTGCTTTCTTTTTGCAGAGCTGAGTACCAGACATTGGATACTAACAGGTTTTGATCTGTTTTGTTTTCGTGTTTGTCTAAGCAATGAAATATTTTTATTTCATCTGATGAATTAATTTTCTGATAGTAACGATCTTTTCCTCTCTATGTAGTTGTACATTCATATTCCGGCCATTATTCCGTCGAAAAAGCGAGAACCGATCGTCACGTACCCTTTTTTTGGTATCAACCGATCTTCCTATACTTGAATGCATGACAAATGAAATTTTTTTTAATTGATTTTCCTTTTTTTTTTTGTTGCAACACTTTGAATCTATAAAACCTATGGGAGCAAGAATCTGAACGTTGGATATTCGAAAGGAACCAATAATGGCTATAATTTGCAATAAATGTTTTTCTTGGTGATTAATTTGGGCAATAGCTATGATTTGCAATAAATGGTTATATTTGTGATTTATTTGTCTTTGTACCCAGGTGCTATACAAATTGTAATTTGTAGGTATACAAAATTACTTCCTTATAAGTAGTAGGCAATAAGCAATATTTTATAACATATGAATGATAATTAAGATTAAAAAAAAAATTATCCTATTTATAAAAAAAATATACTCATAAACCAAAAAAAAAAAAAAAACCTTAAAATTTTATACTAATTTTCTTTATAATGTGTAACAACTAAATTCACATCGGATGGAGAAAAATTTATCCCCATGCAAAATCGCACCTGCTTTGAGAGACCTATTGGACTATTGGGAAAAGATGCACTTCCACGCCATGGGCTGGATTCGAATTTCTCCCTCCAATTATTTGTTCATATTCAAAAACAAAATCATTGCATAATGTCAAAACAGCACAAGATAAATAAAAAAAGAAAAAAAAAAGAAAAAAAAAAGAGATAAAATTCGGCGAGAAATTCTTTTTAAATTTCATAATTTTCATGTGTAAAAAAACAATCCTTATCCACTTCCTTTTAAATCGTATAATATAGGATCAAAGTTGATCTATAAGCTTATAGGTAAGGACGGTGAGAAATCCCGACCACAGCAAACACGGCGTAACAAGATCTTTGGCCGATGGAATTAACTTCTCGAATCTCCGGTGGCAAGCTACCAAAGTTCCGAAGTGCACAACACAGAACACGAACCCCACCCTGGCCGACCCGATCACGAGCACCAGCGGGTCCCAGACGATGCTCAACGCAACCTGGGAAATGTACAGAGGGAGAGCGTCGGAATCCGCGTTGAACCCGCCGACGAGCCAAACCAGGCACGTGGCAAGGCACATGAGGAAGGTTGAGCCGAATGAGGCGAGGTGGATGAGCCACAGCGGAGCGAACCAGAAGGGCTTGTTGGGTAATGTACGGTACCTTTTACCGGCACCGAAGTTGAAGATGATGAAGGAGGTGAGGGCGAGAGGAACGGCAATGGCCGCCGCCAGTGAGAGCGCACTGGGGACCTTCCGTTTCCTGCCGTTTTTGGGTCTCATTGCAGGAGATGTTTGGGGAAAAATATGAAAGGTTCTAATTTTAAAACGGTGGAGGAAAAAAAAAAA